CTGGGTGACACAGCGAGACTCCATCTCAATAATAGTAATAATAATAAAGGTCTTCCCCAAGACATAAGTTTACCTATGTAATAAACCTGCACATGTACCTCTAAACTTAATAAAAGTTAAAAAAAAAATAAAAAATAAAAAAATATACACAATGGAGTACTATTCAGCTATAAAAAGGAATGAGATCCAGTCATCTGCAACAACACTGATGGAACTGTAGATCATTATGTTAAGTGAAATAAGCCATGCACAGAAAGACCAATATTATATGTTCTCACTTATTTGTGGGATCTAAACAGCAAAACAATGGAACTCATGGACATAGAGAGTAGAAGGATGGCTACCAGAGGCCAGGGAGGATAGTGGAGGGATAAATGGGAGGTGAGGTTAATTAATGGGTACAAAAAAATAGAAACAATAAGACCTACTATTTGATAGCACGACAGGGTGACTATAGACAATAACTTAACTGTACATTTTAAAATCATGCAAAGAGTGTAATTAGATTGTAACTCAAAGGATAAATGCTTGACGGGATGGATACCCCATTCTCCATGATGTGCTTATTTCCCATTGCATGCCTATATCAAAACATCCCATGTACCTCATAAATACATACACCTACTATGTACCCACAAAAATTAAAAATTAAAAAAACTGGCTTATTCTTTAAAAATCAATATACTTGAAGCTAATAGAGGGTGGAATAAATAAAATTCACTGTCCATTTATCACAAGCCCTCTATTGATCACTGATCAACAAACAGATTAGCAACTGTTTTTGTGACACAGGTGAAATGAGTATGTTAAATTCCAAGAAACTTACTTGTGAAGAGCTTTTCCTCCTAGGGGTAGTGCTCCCCAACAATTTAGAACTGGGATTCCTTCATATATCTATAGAGTAGTCAAGGATACTACTATTTTAGGAGATAAAATGTGGTTTCCTTGATATTTTCCTCACCTTCTGCAGTATTGTTCTAAATATGCTTTAGTGACAAATTTTTATTTCTTATTTTTAACATAGTTACGGAAAAATCAAAGAGTAAGTTTTTTTTCATATTCTTCATCAAAGAGAACAGAATAAAAATACGCATATGCACATGACCACGCACAATTCATTAGCTATGGCTGGGGCATCTGATAAAAGTAGCCACTAGGCCTATGTAGCTACTTAATATGTGAAATATGGCTAGTCTGAATTGAGATGTGCTCTAAGACTAAACTACATACCAAATTTAGAAGGTTTTAATACCAAAAAACCCCACTAAAATACCTCATTATAATTTTTGTATTGATGGAATACTGGAGTATTTTGAATATATTGGGTTAAATAAAATATACTATTAATTTCATGTTTTCCTGTGCCTTTTAAAATGTGGCTCTTAGAAAATTCTGTTTACTTTTTTTTGAGACAGGGTCTCGCTCTGTAGCCCAGGCTGGAGTACAGTGGTGCGATCTCGGCTCAGTACAACCTCCACCTCCCAGGTTCAAGTGATTCTTGTGCCTCAGTCTCCCAAGTAGTTGGGATTACAGGCATGTGCCACCACAGCCGGCTAATTTTTGTATTTTTCGTAGAGATGGGGTTTTGACCAGTTGGCCAGGCTGGTCTCAAACTCTTGGCCTCAGGTGATCTGCCCACTTCAGCCTCCCAAGGTGCTAGTATTACATGTGTGAGCCATGGCGCCCAGCCTAGAACACTCTAAATTACATACATGGCTCACATTGTATTTCTACAGGACAGAGCCGAGGGAAGTAAACAATATTTACTGTGTGTTTGCTAAGTATATTGGTAAGAGCATCAGCTTTGGAAACAGACATGGGTTTATATCCTGGCTACATGTTCATAAAAAGAGGAGTCAACTACCCATCCCAACTCTCAATATTATCATTTATATAATGAGAATACTACTACTCATGTTGCACGGTTAAGAATTAAACACAAAATACTTTATACTAAAAAACACTACTGCTTGATTAAATTCCTTAGAAGTTAATGATTCTTAATTTCCTTCCATGAATATTTTTTCTAATAAATATACATGTAGATCTCAAAATTGCAAGAGTCTTACATTCATGCACATCAACATCCTTCACAATAAAGCAATGTCCACTAGGACAATTCTAAGAGATGCTTATCTATACTCCGCTTAAATATTTATAATGGAAAGAAATGTACTAGTTTATATGGTCAGTAATTCCATTCTGGGATAGCCTGAATTATTAGTAAGTTCCGACCTATGGTCAATGACATAAAAACCACAGCACATACTAAGAAAATTACTTGTGCCAAATCCTATGTATACTAAACACTTTATATATATTACGTCACTTAACTAACACAACTCTTCTATGAGATGGAAATACTATAATCCCCAATTTATGGATAAAGAAACTGAGGCCCAAAGAGATTAAGCTACCTGACCAAGTAGTAAGAAGCATAACTGGAGATTTGCACTTATTGTGTATTTGATTCTAAAACCCAAGCTTGTAAACACTAAGGCAAAGTGATTCTGCCTCAGCCTCCCGAGTAGCTGGGATTACAGGCATGTGCCACCACGCCCGGCTAATTCTGTATTTTTAGTTGAGACAGGGTTTCACCATCTTGGCCAGGCTGGTCTCAAACTCCTGACCTCAGGTGATCCACCTGCCTCGGCCTCCCAAAGTGCTGGGATTACAGGCATGAGCCACTATGCCCGGCCAGTCTGGTCTCAAACTCCTGACCTCAGGTGATCCACCTGCCTCGGCCTCCCAAAGTGCTGGGATTACAGGCATGAGCCACTATGCCCGGCCTTTGGTACTGTTTTAATCAATCTTACTTGAAGTCATATTTTAAAATATTTTATAGTACCGTGTTTATTTTGCTAATTTGTTTTTTTTTTTAAATACCTTAGGCATCCCAGCTCTTTTTATCACACTAGGAATTATACATCTTGGACCAGTTTCTCCAGCAAATCCACACCTGCAAATAAATGGAAAATTGAAACAACTTATAATATTCTTTTAAGTATTTGTCACAGAAACCAATTTTCCCTGTATTCATTTCAAAACAATGGCCACAATAACATTTGAAAATACCTCTGATGTATTTAAAGGGATTAAAAAAAATCACTCCACAAAATTAATAAGTTAATACTATTTATTAATGCTTGTGTATTAACAGAAAAAAATTCTATCAAATTAGTGATACTTAAAAAAACCAATGTAATATTTTAGGGCAGCATTTACTCTTTTTTTTTTTTTTGAGATGGAGTCTGGCTCTGTCACACAGGCTGGAGTGCAGTGGCAAAGATCTAGGCTCACTGCAAGCTCCGCCTCCCGGGTTCACGCCATTCTCCTGCCTCAGCCTC